AGGTTGGCCGGCGGGAGTAGGTTCTTTGAAAGGGCCTAATTCTCACTCCACTCCAATAAAACAACATCCACAAGGTAATCAAGGTTATTAGCTAATTCTTTGATCCTCGTAACTACTCACTTTTTTCCAAGTTGTGGTAGGTTTTTTGCCATTCGTGAGCCACTTCAGCTATTAATTACAACACACATCCTCTTCCGTGGCACAATCACCTGATTTCAAATTCATAGCATTTGGACTAGGGAGCGAGAGGGTTGCTCTATGTAAAGCAAGAGGACACAATCATATTTCCTTCCCCCTTCAGACAGCTCTCAAAGTCAAGCCCAACTATCCTGCTTTCACTCGCATGGTCCCACCAAATAAAAGAAAAACAACTCAAGGCCTTCAAAACTTACAAAGAAGACCCCAACGTCATTTGATTGTCATAAATGTAGAACTTCCCACCACATCCTGGATTGTGGATTAAGAGCCTAAACCTCTATATTACGAAACCCAAAGGGGCTAAAGTCAACCGATTTCAAGAAAGAATAAAAATTGTGATAGACACCATAAAAGAAAGCGCTGAAGTTTAAGTAAAATACCTTTGTTCTTGCGCTAAAGGGTCTGGCACCTGTTTTTGCCTGTGATCTACTAGTCTAGTTCAGTGCCAACACTTTCGAATTAAGTAAATATCTTTACAAAACAATAGGAAATGCTCAGATTCTAACTACACTCCGGGGAGGTTGGCACAGTGACTTAGTGTTATTAGTGCAACGGGCAGACAGGAGAAGCGTGTGTATAGTTTCTTTATTCTTAAGCAACGTCCTTCAGTCTCAAAAACCCTGCAGCTAATTCTGGCATGCCCTAAGTATAACACTTCTCTCCAACACTGGAATAATGATGCCTAATAGCCTTATTCTCTGTCGCACTCTTTTGAATAAATAATTATCAGATTTTCCAATTTCCTAACACAGCACCATTGAGGAGATTCCTAAGCAAGGAAGTTGATACAACCTTTGGTCCTCTGCAAAGACAAACTGTTGATCTCTTTCACATGCTGGGAAATCACATCTGAAAGTAGGACGCAATGTGTTGCAACAACTAGTGATTCAACTTGGAGTCAATGAATGATGGCCCTAAACAGTAAAAAAAAAACATGCCTAAACAAAAACAGACATAAACCAGTGGAACAGAATAGAGGACCCAGAGTAGTGAAGCCACACAACTAATAACCAACTTGTCTTTGACAAAGGCCTTTGTAAAAAAGTACTATGGAGGAATAAACAGCCTCTGTCAACAAAAACTCTGGGGGGGCAAACTTGCAAAACTGAAACTAGACCATGTATTCACCCTAATTACCAATATCACTCATAATGGATCAAAGGATCTTAATACAGACCCCAAACTCTAAAGTTGATACAGGAAGAGTTAGAAATACTCTGAATAATAAGGTATTAGCCAAGAACTTTCTCAATGGAACCAAGAGGCTCAGCAACTAAGAGGCATAATTAAATGGGACCTCATATAAACTAAAATAAGCTTCTGTCATACAAAAAATGTCTCCTTAAACGAAGAGCACCCCCAGAATGGGAGAAAATATTTGCCAGCTCCCACATCAGACAAAGGACTGATAACCAGTCCTTTTTAAGTTCCCTTAAAAAACTAAACCTCCCACAACTAATGAACCATAAAGAAAGGGCAAGTGAACTAACAGACTTTCTCAAAAGAAGAAATTCAAATGGCCAAAAAATGCATGAAAAAATGCTCACCATCTCTATAATAAGGGAAATGCACCTCACCCTGTTAGAATAGCATCATTACAACACCACAACAACAGGTGTTGGCGAGGAGTGGGAAAAGGAACCCTCTTTACCTGTTGTGGGAATGTAAACTAGCACAACCACTCTGAAAAAAATTTGGAGCTACTTAAAAAGCTAAACATTGATCTACCATAGTTCCAGAAATACCACTTGGGGTATTTCTGTGACACAGGTTACTCCAGAGGCACCTGCACACCCATGTTTATGGCAGCATATTCACAAAGCCAAGTTATGAGAACAGCAAGTCATTCAGAACCCACTGCACTACTGATAATGGATTAAGAAAATGTGGGTATTATGACACAATGGAATTATGCAGCACGAAGAAGAACGAAATGTTATCAGCTGGTAAATGGATGAATGGGAACATCATTCTGAGTGAGGTTAGCCTGGCCCAAAAGACCAAAAATCTATGTTCTCCCTCATATGTGACATTAGATCAAGGGCAAACACAACAAGGGGATTGGATTTGATCACAAAGATAAAATCGAAGCACACAAGGGGAGGGGTGATGGATAGGTAAGACACCTAAAAACTAGATATCATTTGTTGCCGCTCAACGCAGAGAAACTAAAGCAGATACTTTAAAGCAACGTAGCCAATAGGAAAAGGGACCAGGAACGAGAAAAGGTCAGATCAAGAAGAACTAACCTAAAAGGTAAACACACACTCACAGGAAATTAATGTGAGTCAACTCCCTGTGATATGCTTCCTTATCTCAACTAGCAAAAACCCTTGTTTTCCTGGTATTGCTTATACTCTCTCTTCAACAAAATTAGAGATAAGGCAAAATAGTTTCTCGGTATTGAGGAGGGAGAGGGGGGGGCGGGGGTAAGAAGGGTGGAGGAAGGGGGAGAAATGACCCAAACATTGTATGCACATATGAATAAAAAAAATTTTTTAATTAAAAAAAAAAAAGGAAAAACAGTGCCTAGAAAGATAGGACAGCAAGCAAGGCCTGATTAAAGATGGCCCTTTTCAGCCCACATTGGGAGAAGTTTGTCCCTTTTGAGAAAGTTGCTCTCGTGGCCGCCCACTCAATCCACCCTATAATACTGCCACACAGAGAGCTTTCTAAAGTATTCTCCCATTATTGTCTTTGCAGCTTGAATAGTCCTCTGAGTATGGAAAATGTTTGATCTTTGAGAAAGAACTTGAATTTTTCAAAGGATTCCAAAGAAATACAGAACAGGAATAGGCAACTTAGTTTTAAAAACCAAGACACTAACGATTATAACACATTGTGTGTATTGGGGCACCAATATTTCTTGATCAAGCTATGAGGCGAGTCCATTTCAAGACTTGTGGAAATTATTTTGGGGGTTTGTGGTCATGATTTCTGTATTCTTCAGACAAATGAGAAGGTATGTGTTAAGCACCTATAGGAACTCTGGCAAACTATGTAACCAAGGAAAAGCCTGGCCAGGTAGGTTGAGAAGTCAATCACAAGTCAAAGAACCCTTATAGTGTGTGATCTTTCAACAAAAAATGAGCCAATCACCTAACACCTGCAACACAGGTGTGACAAGAGACTCACTCAGGTTTTGTACAAAGTTGGTACTTATTCTGTATTAATTGCTTGATCTAGATTTTCTTTCCAAAGAAAAACTGAAGACTTTCTCTCTAGGTGCTCAGCGCAATAAATGAGCTTTAAATTTGCATTTAGTGTAGAAAAATCACAGTAAATGGAAAAGAAGTGAAACACAAAGCCTCTCTCCAGAGAGGACAGCTGAGGCTTGGCAAAGCCAGCCCTCAGCCTCTGCAAAGAGACTGTCAATCAGAGAGCTAACCACCAGGAAAGAGTGAAGCAGCGAGCTCTCCAAGTCCAGTGAGTGAAAAGCAGTATTATTTATCATCAAAAGCAGAGAAAAGCAAGTTTGCTGCTGCCACACCCTGCTTCCTGCGTGTTTAAGGTCAGTAAGGGCATGGAAGGGCCAGGAAGAGGTCCTGTACAAGGCAGAATGAGCACAAGCTCTTGCCTGGGTGTCACCAATGAAAAGCCATATGGCTAATCTCAGTTTCCTCACCCCTCAAATGGACGAGCTGGGGCTGTAGCTCAGGGCAGAGCCTGTGCTCAGCTTAGCTTGAGCAGGGCTCTGGGGTCCATCTCCCCCAAAACCAAAAAAAGGAGAGAATAGACTGTTCCTCCTGACCCTGGCACTGCTCCAAGCATGAGACAGATGACACTTGCCATTATACTATTGTAATTGTTATTTTTAAGAGAGGGAAGATTTATTCCGGCTCAGAGATTTCAGTCCATCATGTGGGAGGGTGTGGTGGAGCAAAGTAGCTCACCTCATGGTGGACAGGAAGCAGAGTCACATAGAAAGGGAGAGAGAGAGAGAGAGAGAGAGCCTGTACTCTGCAATTATTATTTATTTACACTTTCTATTGTACATTTCATGGAAACTTCTTAAAAGTTTCACTTTTCATTTTCACTTGCCTTGATTTTCTGTGAATTTATTCTCTCCTTTTATTAATGTCTTCCTATCTAAGCGTTGCTAGTTGGTATTATTCCTTTCTCTCTGTCCTCTATAAAAATCATATTCAGGACAAGTCAGTGGACCTTAGATATGCTCCCCAAGTTTTGAAATATTAGGATGAAACCTGAACTAGATGACCTTGAGGCAAATAGGAGGGAGGACTACTTTGAATATACAAAATGCAATGCTCTCTTCTAAAAACTGCTGGTGCATATGCTCTTTCTTCCACTGGTGCTTAGCAAAATTAAACGTTAAGTGCAGACCCACATGAATTATGCAAGCACAGTCTATGGTTTTGTTACCAAAGTATTCTGGTGGGAACTGGGTGTGGTAGCACAAACCAGTAATCCCAGCACTTGGGAGGCTGAGCAGGAGATTGAAAGTTCAAGGCCAGCCTGGGCTACATAGTGAGACCCTATCTCAAACAAACAAATAAACAATCAGTAGGACCATCAATGTTTTGAATAAGCACAATTGCTAATAAAGCTCCTAAATTGAACCAGTATGCTTTGGTGTGCTAAGAGGAAGAATAAACTGTTACATCAAAAAGAAAACCCAGCATGGTAATTGTCTGCTAGCTTGCCTCACATGTATTGTTGTCGGCCTTTAGTGGCTATGAAGACTTACATCATAAGTCACTTTATGCTCCCTGATCAAACTTCCCTCCTTCCAACTCCCACTTCACAAATACGTTTGTTTCACTTCTGCATTTTGGACCTACATCTTTCAAATTGCTGCTATCCTCCGTATCCCAAGAAGGCTGGCGACTGCCAGAGTCCTGGAGCTGAGGTGCTGACGGCTTCTGTTGCCCTTTGCTTCCAGGAAGCCCAGCAAATTCTTGGTGACTTCTTCCCACAAATGAATTCTCTCAGTTGCTGCTTCAGGCTGTTCCCCTCAGACATATATGGGGACTCTTCTGAGCTTTTTTTCCCCATCAAGTGTCCTGTAAAAACAAAAACAAACCAGACACCACAAATTTAGCAAGGGAATGAATGAACAAGAAACTGCAAAGCACACACAGTATTTGCATTTCTTCCTCTAAATGCAGAGTAAACAGCTATTATTAGAAGTTAGTCATACATAGCACACAGATTTGCTCTGTTCAAAATGTGCAATAAGCTGGACAGAATTCAGAACTGTGGCCCAGAAACCCTGTTTTGTTCCAAAACCTCTACTAACTAAGCTAGATGACTTAGGCTGAGTGGCTTACCTTCTTCTGTCTTCACTTTTTTCAACTATAAAATGAATAGGGTAGACAGATTAAATCTAAGGAACCATCCAAATCTAAAATTCTATCATCAATTCAGTGTGCACAGAATTCTATTCCCATCTGAAAGACAGAATTTGAAACATCTTTCTCAGCCAATTTTGAATTGCTGCTGAAAATAAAAGTCTTGGTGCATTTCTTTGTGAACTATAAAAACAACTGTTGCTTTTCTCTTCTGACATACAATTGTACTAAAGGAATTTTTCATTTAAACTTTCTTGGAATTTTAGTTAGATTGAATCTAGGAAATTTCATCTAGAAATGATGGTCATTAAGAGTGTAATGAAAAACAAGTTCTGACTAACACCTGCCAGCCACAGAAAGGCAGAATTTTCTTTGGGCTGTCTGAAATGGTCAGTGAAATTTTCCGGTTGCTCCAGGATGTGTACCTGCCTTGTAAATAAATAAGATCTGCAGTTAAAGGAGTACAAAGTAAAAAAAAAAAAAAAAAGAAGAAGAAAAACAAACAAACAAAAAACCAAAAACCAAAACCATGGAAATTCATCTGTGAAAGTGAGGTAACATAGGATCAGAAGTATTACATAACCTGAAGTCTGGATTTTTCTTTTTTTCAGTACTGGGATTGAACTCAGGGCCTAGTGCTTTCCAGGCAGGTGTTCTACACTTAAACCATGCCTCCAATCCATTTTGCTTTTAGTTTGTCTTTCACATGGAGTTTTGTGGTGTTTTGCCTGATTTTGGACCATGATCCTCCTGCTGGGATCGCTGAAGTAGCTGGATCACAGGCATGCCCAGCCCGTCTGAATTCTTAATACTCTTATCCACTGCATAAGTATATTCATGCTATCTTTCTTTCTTTAGTTGGTCCTCCCCATCTCTCTGAAACTGGGCTTTATAGCACTTTGGAATTCTAATATCAATAAAATGCTTTGATTTAAAGCATTCAGGAGAGAGAATCTTGTGATTCCAACCTTGACTGCCATTAGAAGTATTTAAGGTAACCATAAGGCAATATTTGAATGATATGCTGTTGTTTTAAAATTGAAAGAGACCCCTTCCCAAAAATTTGTCCACCAACAAAGAAGCCCTCATTGTAACTTTTATTACTGTCATGCACACTACAATTGACAGTTTACAGAATGGTTAAACGTGCATTATTTATGTAATCCACACCATAATAAGTTTTGGAAAATAAAGACTTGTGAGAGAGAGTCACACAGATATAGGAAAAGATATAGGATTAGAATGAGTTGAGAGTCCTCTGTATTATATTGTTCAAAGTGTCTTTTAGTGTCAATTTCATTTAAACTATGACTATAAGGAGGCAGGGCATCATTCTGGTTCTGGAATAAGAATAAGGTCTACAGAAGGCTTCTAATGTCATAAACAAATGGGCCATGTATTAGTGTACCATGACTCATTAGATGACTTGGAAAAATTAATTCTGTGAGTATTGGAGTCTTCAAGTTAGATTTGAAGTGTTAGCCCTCACCAGGTCATTTATGACAGGAGACTTCACACAATTCCAAGACCCTCTAAAGGATACTGTCCCAGCTAAAGTATGGGAATCCTGAAGGCTGGGTTCTTCACTTCTCTGCTGGTTCACCTTGGCATCTGTTCTCCACTACCTAACCTTGCACTCTGCCCTAACATTGGCAATGTCACACAACTTCTCAGGAAGGACTGGCACATCAGCTTGAGCTACGTGGCAGAATTGAATCGTGACGATGCAAAGGCAGGATTGGAACCTTGATGCTCCCAGTAATGACTTCCGCCACGCTTTCCTTCCCCGATTGCCTATCATCTAGTTAGGATGCTGGAAATGAGAAAGGAATTACTGCCAATGAAGCAGAGAGCAATGGAGCTTTTTTTTTTTTTTTTACAAATAACAACTTAATTTTAGTCAGATAAAAAAATAATTTGTGACCTTTCTATAATGGGAAGATAAAGTCATCACCCATGCTGTGATGGATTTAAAATAGATCCTGGGACACTGAACTAACTTTCAGGCTTGCCTGATGGGTGTGTGGTGTCAACTCCCCACCCCTAGATCCACTAACTGGTTACTAAGAAAGTACACCTTCTATAGCATTCCACAAAAGCATGCATTCTCTGGGTCCAATTCACTTTTAGAGATAGCCACTGTCAACCAAATCATCATCTCCATGGCAACATGGATGCCAATGCCCAGTTCCACCTCTTTCCCCACCATCTGTTACATGTCCATATCAAAAAGGAGACTTCAGCATAGCAAAAAGACAGACTACAAAAATCAAACCTTGCTCAAAGAGAGAAAAAAAGCTTCTGTCCCTTTTTAGTCAATAACACACCATGAAAGGCAGGCTTGCAAACATAAATGAATTTCCTTGAAGTTAAAGCTTGAAAACTACCAGAACTTAAGAAGACAGACATCAGTATACTAAAGTCTAAACTGTTCTAAGAACCAGAGGCTCTCTGGAGCCACACTTTAAACTACACAGTTCTAAGGCAGCCCTAATATTTCAAAACACTCTGCAGCCAAACCCTGTTGTTTCCCAACTGAACCTTCTGGAACAGGTTTTCACTTATAAAGTTAGAGCCATACTAGGTTGCGATGTTTCCTGAAGCATAGAGAATCTCACCAGTAATTTTAGATCAACATTATTTCAACTCACACCAGACCAAAACACATTTTCCATTGAAACATCCAAGCCACATAGGAATTTTGTTAAGTATAGCAAGCTTGATAACTGCATTTTTCCATGTTCAATGGGCTGTCTTTCAGCCAGAAAATGGGCACACTCACTTAAGCAATGGCCTGCAAATATGCTCTTTGTGGACAGCAAATAATGTAGCTTTAGTTTTACTATTATATTATAATTACACACCAGGTATGGCAATGCACCCTTGGATTCCAGCATTTTGCATGTTAGAGGCAGGAGAATAATGACAAGCCAGGAGCGCCAGCCTGAGGCAATGTAGTGAGACTCTGTCTCAATAAAACAAGGTCTAGGGGTGTAAGCTCAGTGGTGGAGCCCTTGTCTGGTATCACAGGCCCCCCCATTTGTCCCCAGTACTGTAACAGTGAAAAATTAAACTGTGTTGTCTTTGGTGACTGGAGAGGATAGGCATTGTTTTGGAATAGTTGAAAGCCAAATCTAAGATCTGAAAACTCATCTATCTTTGTCCAATCAGTGGAACATATCTATCCAAAGCAAACCTTTTCTCAAGCACAATGCAATTTTGAAGCTGAATTTTCCATTTCACCTCCTTTTCCCTGCTCTTCTTCAACTCTGCACAGCCAGTAAAAAGGAGGAAGGAAAAAGAGTGCATCAGAATAACTTTTAAAATGATATTTAGCAAATATACTTTTGGCTTAAGATATCCATGTACCACTATGAAGAATGACTAAATGAAGACACACCAAACACTTGGGAGTGTGTTCCAGAAACCATAGCAAATCAGGGTTCCTAGCCACCTCTGGTGTCCTCCTTTTGGCCTAAAGCGTTACCTAAACTGTAAGCCTTCAGTATAAAAACAGAGACAGGAAAAAAAGGCTGGAATCAGTGAATCTCATTCCACCTTTCCTGCCACCTGGTGACTGGATCAGACAATGGCCATTTGATCTAGGCTCCCAGAAACCCTTTGTAAGAACTATTGATTTTAAATTTGGGACCTTCTCAGTGTCCTTCACCCTGAAAATGCATGACTTCTCAGCTTCCTGCATTCCTGCCTCTTCTTTTGAAGGCCCTCAGAGATGACAAATCCTCTCATCCTAGGATGACTGGCCAAGACTGGCAGGTGATTCTTTTAGCAACAAAGAAAACTTCTGTATTGCAAACCCAGTGTTCTTGACCCCTGTAACAAAGTACATAGGCATACAGCCTACCCTCCCCCAAATTCTTCTTCATCTTGACAGAGAAAACCTGTGAATTTGTTGATATTTGAATTAGTAAGTAGCTTTCTAACACAACTACTCCCCCCCAAAGTAGATAACTAAGGAAGTATTCAGTCTTTTTCCTCCCTCCTCCTTTCTTCTTCCCACCTCTCCCTCTCCCTCACCCCCTCTCTCATCTCTTTAGGGACCAGCTTCCCAGGCAATTCTGAGGAGGCTGCAGCTGGCTGGGGGTGGGAGAGATCTGGGTACCCTGAACCTTTTGCAACGTTTGGGAAAGCCTAAAAGCCAAAGGGTGACACTGCTGAGCACAAAGCTGTCAGCCGCTACTGACCTCCCAGTTGAGGGGGAAAGCTCTGGGCACTCACTGGGCAGACTCTTGACCCAGGGAGGGTCCCTGAAGACATTTCCGCTGAGGTTCAGAGAACCTCTAAGCTGGTGTCTACAAAGCAGGTACAGGCAATGAGAAAGAAGCGAGGGCAGAGATGGAAGTCGTGGATCTAGAGAGAAAGAGCCAGGGTTCAGGGAGCAGAGGCCCACAAGCCTGGAGATTGGGTGGGAATCCGAGCCCGCCGGTGGGCAAAAAGAAGAAAGCAAATCGCTGCTAAGGGAACCAAAGAACTGAAAAAACTCAGGACAGCCACGAGCAGAGGCGGGATTCAAGCAACGCTTAAAAAGATTGGACCCGGAGTTCGAGCGCTGCTCCGGGGTATCCACACCTGTGGCTCTGCCCCGAGCCACAGCACAGCCTGGATTCCAGCCCAACCTGGCCAGAGTCCGAGGCCAAAGGCTGGATCCGGGCTCTGAAACACACTTGGGTACCTCGCTCCCCAAAGTTATTCCAGGAGAGACACAAGCCAGAACTGAGATGAGACGGACAAGAGGGAGGCGTTGGTAGGTGCGGAAGGAAGGGAGCTGCGCGCAAGGCTGGCTGTTCTGGAGAGCTGCGCGCTGGCTGGGGTGCCCTGGGAAAGAAGAGGTTCACCCAGAAGCGAAGCGAGCGGGAAAGGATCTAGGGACCAGTCAGCGACTGGTGAGGGACCAAGGGCTTCTCAGGATGGGAAAGGGTGGGTGGAGTTTTGGGAGATTGCGCAGTAGAAGGGTCCGAGCAAATCTAAGTCCCAAAGCTGGGCGCGAAAACGGTGGCAAGGGGAGACAGATCCCTTCAGGCGGATCCCTCCCTGGACAAGAGCGCACGGCTCTCATGGACAGGACACTCACCCACCGCCCAGTGGTTGCCGCGCGGGTACATCTTGGCCAGCACTGTCCCTCCACCTCTGGCACTGGGGCGGCTGGCCCCCGGGGCGCCTGGCAGAGGACCAGCGCCAGGAGGACGAGCCGGAGCTCCGGGCCGCGCATCATCCCGGCGGGCAGCCCTTGGAGCGTCGTGGCGAGGCTGGGCAGCGAGTCCGCTGTCCCCGAGGAACAGCGACGGGAGGACAGGACCTCGGAGGAGCTCAGCCGCCACCGCCGCCGCCCGCGCCTCTCTGCTCAGCCTCCACGAGGGCCCTGACTTTATATGGAAACCCAAGCGGGCGGGGTTGGGGGAAACAAGGGGGCTCTTCCAACGAGGACGGGAGCGCTCTGACGTCTCCCTATAGCAAGCCGGGGCTCCCGAACGCCTGGCCCGGGAAATCATCCATCTCCCCGCGAGTGATGAAAGGCTGAATGTACATTGCTCCTCTCCCTTTCCCTGGTTGTCCCATCCGTCTTCCTCCCATCCTCGACGCCTGCTTTGCTCCAACACAATTTAGTGAACTCCTCCCTTCCCCAACTCCACACCACCAGCCGAAACCTCACCCGCCACGGTTTTCCAGAGACGCCGCTGCCCAGAAAATAATGGAGGATCGAGTTTAAGACATGCTTTGTGAACAAAGCTAACGCTAGTTCGATCAAACACAAACACTGCTCCCACATAATGGAGGAAGAAGCGCTTCTCTGCTAATTCCCTAGGCTGCACCTACCAGAAAGCCCGAACTGTCCCTAAACTGCTGAGTTCCCGCTCAACTTCCCTGGGTGCCTTCTGTTGTCAGGCCTCCAGTCACCTGCTGGGCCCATTCCCTGGCTTCTGAATGCCATGAATGCTATGCACACCCTAGCAATGCGACAATAAATAGAAGCCTGGTAAGAATGCTACTGCCCACGTTTTGGCTGCCAGAGCAGGTCGTGTGGTTGTGCTTGTAATTGGCGAGGTCTGTTCCCCACCAAGGTCTGGTAAATCGCCTCTCTGGTGGGTCCTTAGTGTTACCTGTCAACATGGCTTTGGCACTGATGAAGTTGAAAATGTACACTTTGGTCTGAGTAGCTGGTGGTTCAATACATTTGTGCCTTTCTTGAGTAATCACACACAATACATTGCATGACAGTAATCTTGGGCTTTGAAAAGTATTTTTATGCATGGGTCTGGCTCTATGGGAAAAATGCTGATTTTAAGATCATTTTTAGTAGTCAAGGACATATGAGAAAACTATACTGAAGGAGTGAGCCAACTGCAAATCAAAAGGGAAAGCCTACAGTTGGTTTTGACTCTCCTTTCTCCTGGGTTCCCAGCCTCTGCAGTCCAACCCCAGGCCTCTATTTGTGAGCAGATGTTGTACTGACAGGTAACTGGTCATACAGTAAGGCTTGAAGCCTCCCACCTGCTTAAACACAGAGACTCGCTCCTGCTCTTCTGTGCACCTGGATCATGGTATTTGATGAGTGAACAAGTAATCTAAGAAACTTCAGATCTAAAGTCTTCTATACCTGGGTCTGTGGAGGAGACTTAAGCCCTCTTCTCTCCAGATTATGTGGTAGAAAAATACCCATTTCCTTTAGTCTAATCAAGATTATTTTGGAACGTTTTAAATGATGTTTTGCCTGACACTGAGAGAAAACCACTGTAAAGACATTCAAGTGCAGGAATCATTTCACAGAAAGTACAGTCTTCCTAACGAAGGTACCCCACTGTTTTTTGTGTCTCTTGCAGGTCAGAAGTAACTGGACCCCTCCTCCCACCCCAGTCTACAGGCTTTTGCCTGAAGACTAGGCCTGGACCATGTGGATTGTTTTGGCATCCCATAAGGGCAGCAACGGTGTCGGTTTTGTTTGGGGTCGCATCCACAGTGCTTGACCCAGTTCTGGGCACAGAGAGCAGACTCAATAGATCGAATGATACATTGTCCTTTGGGTACAGACGATGAGTCCAGTCCCCTAGCCAGAAAAGACAATGGCTGTTGCCAAGTGAGAACAGAACCATTGTGCATTTGATTCATTCCCAGTGGATTCTAGATGGGTGTTCTCTCATATGCCTCTAAAATCCATACTAAGGTGTGACAGGTAAAGATGCTTAACTCCACTGACTTATGATGGAGCCAAATCCTATAAGAAAGAGAACTCACAATGCAATGGCCCATCCAAAAGAAAAGATTTGCTTTCTTTTTTCACCCAGGGTAGGTGTTCAAGGTTTGCAGAGAGCTATGTTCCATGTGGACATTCAGGCATCTGGATTTATGTCATGGCACGCCTCCATCATTCCCTAGCACAGTGCTACCCAAAGAGTGGGTCTCAAAGAGCTTGGGAGCTTGATCAGACCATAAATTGATGCACTGTTTCCTTCATCAAGGATATCTTGCTGTGGGAAAAAATATCAGCTGAACTACACAATGTGTTTAGTAATATCACTGATATGTTCTGGAACTCGCTCTTAATCTCATTGTGGATAGATTAACAAGTGGCTGATCTGTTGGACTGCATGTGATTAACACTGTCTTGAAGCAGTGTCCCTGTCTGCAGAGCTTGGTTTGCAGCTGGCAGGAAGGGGAAAGTGAAGAAGGCATGCTCACTTTCTCAACATTCCCATTCACTGTAACACTGGTGCCCGTATTCCCTTGGAGCGTCCTGGCGTCTCCCTATAGCAAGCCCTTGGTTAAAGTCAGCCCATGGTCATAGGCGACTGCAAGAAAGGTTAGGGGGTTGCAGTCTTGATAGGTTGGTACCAGCTCTGGTTGCATCACTGTGGAAGAAGGAGTCGATGAAATTTGACAGACAGCTGAGAAACTGCCAGAACCAGTCTACAGTGGCAAAGGCACTCGGAGAATCTTACACATTTTATTTCATAAAATGCAACTAAATTCTGGAGTTGGTCAGAGCTGGCCAGGAGGAAACTCTCCTCGTGGGAAGGAATACCCTGCTTCTCTACCCCAAAGCTCTGGTCCTTACTACCACCACAGGCATCATCCCTAAGGCTCGATGGATCCTGTTGCCCAAACTAGGACACCCCTTCATTAAACTCCTCATTTGGGAACATTTAATCTAATCTTTTTAAAGGAGCGGTGTCAATTAGCCATGTCCACAAAAGTGCTGTGTAAGAAACAGTGCAGCCTTTTGGTGGCATGCAGCAATAAGATATGTTTTCCCTGTGTGTGCAGAGGGACCAAGGTGGCTCTGCCAAGGTCATGTGGGCTCCACTGGTCTCCTGGCCAAGATTTACCTTAGGTTCAGTTCTGTGTCTCTAGCAACTGGCATGCTGGTAAGAGTGTATTCTCTCATGGTAGAAGGGAGATAGAATCAGAATGGCTACTGCAGGACTGGACTTAGTACTCATACACTGTTATTTCTGTCATGGGTCATTGGGAGTCACATTCAAGCCACTTAGGGAAGACCTCATTCAAGGCACAGGGAAGCACACGCTGCAGGGAGAGTTCAGGAATGGGCCCTATACTTTAATTTATGACAGTACAGAAGAGAGGAAAAATAGGTGCAGAGTAACATCCAACATAATCTAGCCAACAGGGTGCTGTTTTTCACCTTGGGTTTGACATCCCTCTGGGGGCCATCTAGGGCCATGCCCTTGTGGGCCCTCCTCTCCCCTCCTAGATGACATTTCCAGGAACTTCAACAGCTATTTCCCTCACTGAGATCTCTCATCCTCAGGGCATGAAATACTTCTTTTTAGATTTATAAAGATTTCAGGTCAGTTTGTACCTTATGACTTTTCCAGAAATCAAGACTCTGCGATGTGATTTGAAAGGGGTTCCCCAAATGCTTGAACGGTCTGGTCTGTTCAGGCCTATTGTGTGCTGGGAAGGGATCAACTTAAGCTAACTCAGACCAAGTGGGATTTGTTGTAAGAACACAATAGGAATGGCAAGAAATCCAAAGACAGGGACTGTGGCTCAGTTGGGTCTCAGGGGAGCTATTACTGGCCCCAAGGCTTCTCATACCCACACCCAGTAAGTGTTTCCTCTGTCTGTCTGTCTCTCTGTTCCTTTCTCCTCTCTGTGGACTGACTTCTATATGCACCATGCATTTCCATCCCTGTGTAACTGTTCTCCTCTGTGGCCCACCACACCTACCCCACCATCCTCTACTATGGGCCAACTTTTCGCATAGCCTCCTAACTTCTGCTTCTGCTAGAAATTGCCTCTGTCTCTCAGTTTCCTAACTCCAGATTCTCAAAAGAAACGTGACTGACCTATCTCTTTATGTTGACCCAGGGACACAGGTCATAGATTGTCCAATATTTTCAGGGTCCAGCACATTTCCACTGTGTGACTCTGCTGCTTGTCCCAAGATCTTATGACTAGGTGAATCCAAGTAAGTCCGATCAGCTCTGAGCAGGGTCTAAGAACACGTGATGGTGCCTGTGGCCATGTCCAGTCTGCAGGGCTCTGAGCAGGACTATGTACCTGTGCACAGGTGGGGCAGCCACTCAGCTGTCTCAGACACATGTTCCTTCTCCCTAGCCTCCCTAAGGCGTGCTGTCTTGGGCCTGATAGTCCATGATTTGTACAGTGTTCTTTTAGCTCAGTGACTCCGAAACAGTTCATCTTCAAGGGCATTTGACATTATCTTCTCCTATGAAGTTCACGTTTAGTAAGCTGTTTACTGTGAAACAGACCCTTTTTATTTAAATTTCCCATTTTAATTCACCCAAGACATAAGGAACGTCCATCAGATTTTCTAAGCATGTTGAAATGACCAGCAGTTCCACAGAGTTGATGTAGTCCAATCTAAGTCAATGAAATACTGCATTTTACTTGGTCTTCTTAGCTGCATAGGGATAAATGCATGTTCTTAGAGGGACTTGTTGAAATACAGAAAATCACTCATGCATCTGTGTCATTGTTCTTATGAAATGAGGTTGGGTACCTCTCTTAAGTTTAAGGGGCTATTTCCCAGAGGGAGCAACTGGGAAGAAGAATGGCAGGTACAGGGAATGGTAGTTGGGAACTCAGAATTCTGGCTTACCTGGAATCCAATCCACCTCTACCACTTGAGAGCTATGGTGTGACCTCAGGCCAGTCACTTAGCAGCTACGTCTCAGTGTCTTCACCTGTAAATTGAGCTGGCACTACCTCCCTTCCTAGGGTGTCCAG